TGGTTGCTGCTCTTTGATTTTTATTTATTTTAAATGAGATACTATTTGGAATATCTTTGTCTTAAGCATAAAGGCAGTTTTTTCCCAGCCCCAGTTACCTCTTACCTGTCTGTAGGTTAATAGGCTTATCTGTGTTTCTGCAGGAATAAATACCTGAAATGCGAGTCCCTCCACATACTGAAGCACTCTGAAATATGTTGTCACAGTGTTTTTCAGGAAAAACATGCTTTTAGCCTGTTGACAGGTTAATTATTGGCAGTGGATGAGAGGATGCAGTTCCAGCCTCAGTAAAAAGACAACTATTTTTACTTTCTATTGAAGCTGAGATTTGTTTTTCTTTATTTTGGGATTGTGAAACGTTCTGTGACTTTCAATAAATGCCAAATGTGTTGCAGTAAAGAATTTTTTAAGCAACATTCTCTAAGCATATCAAACCATACATGTGACACTTTCAAAGTAATTCCTTTTTACATAGACAGGTCTTACGTAGTCTTGAATCTTATCTGTCAACCGTTTTACCTTCTGGCACGTGCCCTACATGTTAAACATTGACAAGGCTTTTGACTTTAAATTATATTTTTACCTTGTTATAGAAGAGTATTAGCTCACATCTTTTGAAGCGAAATTCCACGTCAGCTGAAGCTTTTTATCCCGTGCCGAGAATTTTAGATTCTGCATCAAATGCATGGTTAAGGATATTGGATTCTTTACATCTAGTGATACAAAGCATTCCAGAAAAAAAATGGATATTTTAGTTGCATAAGTTCTTGCATTTCTCATGGTTCTGGGATCTAATCTTCAAATAAGTTTCCTAGAGCACAGACTTCTTGAGGAAGAAGCATCTTCCATTGGGAAGATCTGATACCATGGAATGTAATTCATCTTGGGGAGTGTGCAGTCATGGCCGTTTGAGCTTGAAGCTATTTTGGTCTCTATTTTGACTCCTTCTAGTAACACTTAGTTTCCCCTCTCTGTTCATGTGATCTTCTCTTACAAAACCCAGCTGTTCCTAATGTGTGCTTAACTTTCAGAAACAGTTAGATGACAGTTTCTGCCTTTTGTGGAAGTCTCTGCTGAACAGTTTTTAATATTTAGTTTTGCTTTCTTTGTTGCTTTGATAATAGTATATCAGTTCTTAGCCCATACAACAACCAGGAGCACTAGCATTGTTCAGATGTATTGCTTGTGTCTTCATTTCTAACATGTATCTTGCAGTGCTTTCTGTTGGTTGTTTTTTTTTTTAACTTGCATACAAATTGGGTATGTAGGAATGTTGAAAAGGTTGCTACTCTTTGAGCATCCTCATCTCTGACCACTAGATGAACTTCGTTTTGTGGCTCCTGTTGCAAAGTATTGAAAAATGTGAAAGTAAATCATAACTTCCACCAAGAATAGGAGGGGTGATATTGCTACTGTCCTGCAGCCTGGATGCTGATCTCTGGGTGCTTCCTGACTTAAAAATGTCCTGGAGTATCCTGAGGTGTACAGCATAGTGGCAGTGCCCATGTTGTTTCTGGTTTTAGGTGTGTTGTGGTTTAACCCCAGCCAGCAGCCAAGAACCACACAGCCTCTCACTCACTCCCCCACCAATGGGATGGGGGAGTGAATTAGAAGGATAAAAGCTACAAAAACTCATGGGTTGAGATAAAGACAGTTTAATAGACAAAGCAAAAGCTGCACACACAAGCAAAGCAAAACAAGGAATTAATTCACTGCTTCCCGAAGACAGGAGGTGTTCAGCCATCTCCAGGAGAGCAGGGCCCATCACGCGTAACGGTTCCTTGGGAAGACAGACACCATCACTCCAGATGTCCCCCCTTCCTCCTTCTTCCTCCCACCTTATATACTGAGCATGATGTCATATGGTATGGAATATCCCTTTGGTCAGTTTGGGTCACCTGTCCCAGCTGTGTCTCCTCCCAATCTCCCATGCATCCCCAACTTCCTTGCCAGCATGGCAGCACAGAATGCAGCAAAGGCCTTGACTCCGTGCAAGCTCCGCTCAGCAATAACAAAAACATCTCTGCATTATCAACTCTGTGCTCCGCACCAAACCCAAACATAGCCCCATACTAGCCTCTATGAAGAAAGTTAACTCTGCTTCAGCTCAAACCAGCACAAGGTGGAATGAAAAAATTTTAGGTTTAAGAATATGTATATTCATTCATACAGTGAGTGTTGATTTTCTGATTTTTCTTGTGCTTTTGTGAATTACAACAGAACTCTCCCAGTCCAGTTGTTCAAGGTACTTGTTTGAATGTGCTGAATGGTGTTGTTTGCATATTATATTCAATGAAAGTTGTCTTGGGAATTACCCTTCAGGAGAGGATGCATGTTATAGGAAGTTTGTATAACCACTGTTCTTGGCCAAAGACTTAGAAATATTGAGAATTAAGCTGTATTTAAGAAGAGTTGGCTACTAACTTTGAAGTCATTATGCTGAAAAATAATTAGAATTTTAGTGTGAATGTATGCATAGGTGATGATAGCAAACGGTTGCTCACACTTTTCTGTACAAGGTGCATATTTGTTTTTGTTTCTGAAGAAGGAAAAGCAACGGAGCTTCTCCTGTAGCTGAAGGAGCAGATTAGTTGCTATAGATTTGTGCCTGTCATAGAATCATCAAGGTTGGAGGAGACCTCTAAGATCATCAAGTCCAACCATTAACCTGTCACTGCTGTAACTCCTAAACCCTAAACCATATCCTCCAGCACCAGATCCAGACACCTCTTAAACATTTCCAGGGATGGTGACTCCGTCACCTCCCTGGGCTACGTATTCCAGTGCTGAAATAGACCACCTCTTTTCTTCAGGGTGCAAACAAAATGAATTGTTTGGTACACTGCCCCAGGGCAGAGTATGATACAGTGGTAAAAGGATGGATAGCTGGAAGCATAGCTGAAGACATTGTGGGAGAGGTGTGGAAACCACTTCAAAAGATACTGAGAATGTTTCAAAACCATTCTTTGGTTTGTTTTGTGAAGGTGCAATCCCCTTTTCTCATCAGTTAAACTATGGTTCTGACTTCCACAAACCAGAGAAAAGAAGGATTAAGTTGAGGTTTGGAGTGACCTGTTGGCTTCAGAGATCAGAGGAGGTCAGGTGTTCAATCATAAGGCCTTATGCATTATATGCCACTATAGTTTTTGGATCATGAGGAGTTACCTGAATGGGAAACCCCCTTGGGAATATCAGGTGCTGTAGCCTCTGCCAGGCAAGAACAGTGTCTCTATCCATGGTGATATTAAAAATCTGACTGAATAAGGTCCTGTGCAACCTGTTGTACTTGACCTTAAAATAAGGTATTTTAATTTTTGATATTTTAAGTAGCGTATTAGGTATTTTAATATTTTAAGTAGCGAGGTTGGACTAGATGATCTCCAGAGGTCCCTTCCAAACTCAATGCTCTGTGATAATTTGCTCTTTAGATGAGATTAGCATGACATCATTGAGGTCATACTTTTCAGATCATTTAATGTATTATGCCCAATGTGGAAGGAGTTTTGTTAAAGATTATTAAAATGGGCAGGGTGAGGAAGCTGCTGAGCAGAAAGCTTTAAGCAACTTTAGTGCTGGACTTAGTGCCTTCTCTGGAAATCTAAGGTTGCATCGCATCTAACTGTGTGGACTGTGTACTGAACTCTTAAGCTATATGATGGTTTTAAAGTTCTCAGCTCAGTTTCTGTAATGCTGTCAATGAACACTGAATGTGTAAAGCTTTCTGTTTCTCCCTGGGAGAAATAAGGTGTACAAGCTGTGTGTTAGGCATGAGATTCCTTTGGGAGCAGTTTGAGGAGACGACTTGTGTTTGATTGGGAGGATATGTGACCTAATTAGTATTTGATCACTTTTTTTTTATTTTTAGTGACTTAAACATGAGGTATTCTGGTTCATCTGGGACTGAATTTACTTACACAGTTATTAAAGCAACAGATGTATACAAAACCAAACTGTCTTCAGGTGAAAAAATGATTATATGGGTTAGAGCTCCCTTGGCTGTGCTTAAGAATGTGATCTGTGAAACTACATTAATAAAGTGTCTAGAATTGGTTCTCTTAAAAAGATGTTTTTTCCACTCTTAGTATTCTGTGTTTGAATTCCAGACTTGCAGAGAAACGAGTATTTAACCTTCATGGCTAAGGACAGTGCAAACCCATAAGCTAACTTGGTTTGGGAGTAAACTTAAAGTCTTATCACAGATAACCTTTTAAGATGTGCTGGAATGGGTATCCCATTAACTTGGCAGTGAATTTTTATTTACAGAGGCTAAAAAAGAGGGAATGTGAGATTTGAGGTTTTTAATCTGGCTCTGTTTAGCCTTTTCTTAAGAGATTGTATCGTATTTCTGTTTTGTTGAGTTGCTCTTCTGGTAAAAGGAGTGAGATTCTTCCTTAAAATCTTGTGTCTGTTAAAGGCTGTTAAATATTTCTAAGTAGATTGTGAGAAAAGAAATGATGTGAAACACTTGTAATGCTAAATATTATTGTGTTGTCACTGAGTATAGTGTAGGTGGCTCTGGTTAATGTGGATTTGATGGTCTTGCTAAGGCCTCAGAAATGTGAAGTGTGCTGGATCTTAAGGGTGTCTGTAATCAAAAGGAAGAAATGGAAAGAGACATTCTTGATTAGTGGGTTTTGTTGTTAGTGGTAGGTTTTTTTTGTTTAATTGTCTACTTCACATATTGCTTGAATAAACTTGCACACTAAATAGCTTGGGAAGATGATGCAGAATTCCCGACTAACTGACTTTTGGATGTTCAGTTGCAATACTGAACTAGAATAGATCAAAGATCAAGTTGATACAAGAAACTGCTTTCTCATTCATCTGTGTTTAGTCATCCTGGAAAGCTGCATTGTTGCTATAAACAGTTTCAACTTGTACTGTTTGCTGCTTGCTGTCTTCAGTAATTTAACCTTGTTTAATAAGAAGTAGTGTCATGCTTACTACTTAGGGGTGAGGCTGAAAGTTGAAATGTAACTTTGACCAATAATGTTATTCAGGAATATGAAGCACGGACAGGAAGAATGTATAAACCTCAACCCCCAGCAGCAAGACGTAAAAATATTGAATTTGAGCCACTTTCAACTACTGCTTTGATTCTGGAGGATCGACCAGCGTAAGTATGAGTCTGCTGTGCAACTGAATTACTCAACTTTACATATGCTTCTGATGAGGTAAACTTCACAAGTCTGATGTGAAAGTCCCCTTGGATTATTCTGTCCCAGGCAATAACGTAACAAATACCTCCAGAAGAACCTATAAGTATATTATAGTCTATATGAGGAATTCTTTCTCACTGTATGTAATGGACCCACTAGTCTATTGTGTACTGTATATCACAGCTGTCTATGACAGTGTTGTGGGCATCCCTGAAGTCCTCAGTTGTCCTGATTGATTTCTTCACTGCCTTCTCAGCTCACACTCCCTTCTTCCCCCATTCTCCCTTTCCCCATTCTGGAAACTTGATCTGCTAGACCAGTCGGGAAGACTTAAGTAGCAGTAGTTATTTCATCAAACCTGGACTTGTTAAAAAGTAAAAAAAGAAAAAGTGTTAGGTAGGTAATAGTAGGAGTGGGAAGAATTGCCTTGGAAACACAAGCAATACCTTCCTGTCACAAATGCTGAGTGCTCGTTTTGTGTCTGGCAACTGCAGTTAAGCATGTTGTTGGTACTGAGAGGGTGTAATTCACTGAAACTCTTCCTTCCCCTTGTTCCTGTTAAGTTTTCATGACTTCTTAAAACTACAGCTGAAGGCAAGTAAACAGCAGATGAAGATGTAACAAAACCCACATTAATTAACCATTAATAAGAATAGTAATGAAAAATGGGTAGTAAATTGGTCAGTCTTTTCACCTGTACAGTCTGCAGTAATTTGAAGGAAAGAGAAGGACCTGCTGACTAGGCACATGTTTGAGGAAAGCAAATGGAGCAAAGCTCACAAAGTACACCATGGAAAAGCTTGTGATGGCACTGTTAAGTGTTTGCTTTAATCAGTTCCAATTAGGAAATGGAAAGTAGAACATATCGGTGTTTCTTTCAGTATTCTCTCTAGTGGTATATAAGCTCATTCAGTGCTGAGACAGAAATACCCTGGATGGAATTATGGATTGCTATGAGTATCTTTTGTAAATGCATTATTTCTTTTACTGTATGGTGGAGAGTAAGATATGCAATGACTATTTTTGATGCTTTTCTGTACTTTCATAGTATTACAACTCACAAACTGGTAGAAGTATGTTTTTACAAATGACACTTACTTCAAACTGGAGTGTCATCCCAAGTGTATAATGTACTGCCACAGTCTAACTCTTGAAAATGTATTCTGATCTCACTTTCACTGGAAATATTAGTAAGTGATCTTGCCTGCTTGTATAAGAGAAGATGGAAAACATTTATATTAAAATGCCAAAACTATCTACTATTTATTTTGAACCGAAGTAGACTAGGGATTGGGTAAGAGACTGAGACTAAACATTGTGTTCTTTTGAATTGTTTTGGAGTCTCCTTGATCAAGAGGAAGTGTGTTTGGCAGTTAGGAGATCACTATGCAGCCAAAAACCAAACACATTTTAAGCTGGTGAACTTGTAGTGCTGCAATAAGCTTCCTTAGCTTTAGCTCTGACACAAATGGTGATCTCTCCTTTCTTCCTTTGAGGAACCTGTCTTCTTTTGTGTAACCTTTAAAGAGCTGATTATAATGAATAAAAGCCTTTGCCTTTTATTGAAGATGCATCATAGATTTCATATAAACAAGTGGAATATCAGTTTGGAGATGTAGCTAATGATTAAAATACATGTGCAGAAATGCATTGGAATAAATAACTATATTGTATATCAGTATTTCCCTTTTGTCACTTCATTTGAGCATCATTCCAAATGTTCCAACAAATTTAACAACCCTGCTTTAGGGCAAGCTCTAGGAGAACTAAATCACAGAAGCAATAACCATCTGGTAGTTTTCTACAGCTGTTACTGAAATGCTGGTAGTGTGATAACCCCAGAGCTCACCTTAGAGAAACCAAATTTAAACTTGTTCTGAAATGGTCCAGAATGTCATTTGTGTGTATTGAATTCAGGAACAACTTGTTTTCAGAAATCTTCCTGCCAAATCAATGGAGGAGGCTCTACGTCACCGACAAGAGTATGATGAGATGGTGGCAGAGGCAAAGAAACGAGGTAGGTTAACTGCCCATAATTATTGTAATTCTTTTTAACTGCAGCAGGAGCAAAGTAAATTCTGCCATGTAGTAGGTACATTAAAGAACACTCTTGTTTAATACCTGGGTTATTCTCTGGTACGTAGGGGGACACAGTTTAAAGCAGTACTCAATTATCAAATTGTTTTCTTGTTTCACTATGCTGAATGTAGGTAGGTTCAGGATGCAGCTTAACATTTTATTTGCTTTTTAAGGAGAAGCTTTTATTTATTTATTTATTTATAATTACTTGCGTAATGTGACCAGCTAGAAACTTCCTGAGTCCTTGGACTCTTTCTTTCAAGCCATGTTGCTGTAGTTGTGACTAAGAGCCAAAGTACAATAAAGGTGACTGCTTACAGATCAGGTTCTTAGGAATTTGAGATCAATTTCAATGTGAAGACAGATGAAAACCTTGGGGTTTTTTTCCAATCAGCTGTACCTGTATGAACCTTTCTACTCCCACTAGATATGTTTAATTTAAAAAACAGATCTGTAGCTTCTGGTACTGTGTCAATCTATGAATAGTTGTTGAAAGGACTTCTGTAGTCTTGTGCCTAGTATTCAGGGAATAACTTATTTTAAGAATCTGTGCTGCGTGTTTTACTTGGGCTGTTGTCAGAGATACAAGCTTCTGAACTGATTGATCCTCTGTGGATCTGTGGCAGCTTACTTTGAAAGATGCAATGAGAAATCCAAGGCGTTTGACAGTTCATTTCACTCTGCTCTTGTGGTGTGCGTCATGCAAGTTGTGATCTGTGGTCCATGTTCTTTAATAACTGCATCTTGGCGGTTAAGCCATGTCTAGTGTTTCAATATGTGTGCCCTGGTTTATTACATTAACTGTTGTTAAACACACAAAGCTTCAGTAAAAACTTAATGAAGCTGCTCAGCCATATGGGTTTTCCAGGGATGGCATGTTTAGTCTGTTGATGTGTCTGATGCATGCATAAATAGCAAATGTCTTGCAATTTCACAGTGGTTCTTAGTGATGTCAAGATAGCACTGCTCTGTCCTTCTTTTAGCCTTTTTTTAATAAGAGGGATCTACCAATGATCCTTTTTCCACAGAAGGCAGAATATTGTTCTCTTGTTCACCATTGTGACTTTGTCTCAGGTCTTTAGGTCCTGTTTCCAGAAAAGAAAATACATAATCCTTTTAGGTGGAGGCTTCAGTGAAATTTGAATAATTTTTAAAATGGATGTAGAATTGCACCTTTAAATAATAATTTTACCTATAAATATTGCTGATTAGTAAGTAGTAAGCAAGACTCAGGTAGAGTGTGGTATGAAAATCATTGCAGGAAAAACAGCGCTGATGATGTGCTTGCTTTTTAGTCATTCTGTGTACTGCAGAAGAGTTCTATGAGTTTCCTAGCTAGATTTTTGCTTGTCTAAATCACTGCATTTGAACAACTTAGCTTAAATTAAAAGCTGTCCTGAGAAATACACAACAATGAACAGAAATAGTATGTGCAGTTGTAATTTACCCTCCATCTCCTTCAGACATCGAAATAATTGGATAATAGCTGAATTATTTACCTAATAATTTAACTACACTAATACAGAATTATTAACATGTTATGCCTAACAGAAATTAAAGAAGCACATAAAAGGAAAAAAATAATGAGAGAGCGTTTCAAGCAAGAAGAGAATATCGCTAGTGCTATGGTGATTTGGGTCAATGAAATACTACCTAACTGGGAAGGCATGTAAGTAAAGCTCTACTGTGTAAGTGAGGCAAGGGTGGCTTGTTTCTGCTCTGGAAACTGAGGACCCACATACCTTATTTTCCTTTTCCTTTCTGTGTTGTCAAGAAGTCGGTTTTTGTTGCCATGATATAGTGTGAGGTTGTGAAATGAAATGTGCTTTCTGGGAGCTTAATGTTTTGGGGGTTTTTAATGGGGCTTTAGCCTAAGCAGAAATCCTTGAATATTGATTTGGTAAATAAGTATGTTACTGTCCTTGTAAATTGCCCAGTGATTCTAAAAAGCAAGATGTACAATATGTGCCTTTTTTGTTTGTTTGTTTTTCTTCTCCCTGCTTCCCTATCTTAGGCGAGCTACCCGGAGAGTTCGAGAGCTGTGGTGGCAGGGATTGCCTCCAAGTGTACGTGGGAAGGTTTGGAGTCTAGCTGTGGGAAATGAATTAAATATCACTCCTGGTACGTCTTAAAACAGATCATGTTTTAATGCAAAATTAAGTTGGTTATTTTCAAAGAAAAATGGAAGCTTTTCTTTAAAAAGTATGAATCAGGATATATTTCTTTCTGAACTATATTTTGCCATGTTAGGAACAGCTCTCTTCTACAGTTAGACTCAAAGTTTGGAAACAAGGTTCAAAACCTGCTTACATTTTAGTCTTGTAAGAATTAAGGTGGTGTCTCCCTTTTATGTGTAAAATGGAAAATGTGTAGCTTTGCTTTTTTCAGGGGGTGGAAAGGAGAATTGCTTTATTTCATAACTGATGTTTTTTAATGAACTTTGAGTTCTATTCCCAAAAATAAAATATCTGAATTATTTATGACATGATTTCCCTCGTGTAGTTTGCATATTCACCACAGCAGAAAGCACAATACAGTGCACACTGTAAAACTGTGTATAGCGGTACTCCAGTGGTTAGTGGTAACCATCTAAGAGATTCTTCCCCTGCCCCCAGTGACTAAGATGAAACCAAGCGACCAAAGCCAAGAATACATCGTGTATTTTTGTCTTGGATGGGTGTTTTTCTTCACTACTTTCTTTTTTATTACTGTTTTTGTTTTGCTTGCTTGCAGAACTTTATGAAATCTTCTTGTCGAGAGCTAAGGAACGATGGAAAAGCTTCAGTGAGACAAGTTCTGAGAATGACACAGAAGGTGAGATCTCCTGGGTGCTCAGCAACCTCCTAGTCACTTTTTATAGACTCAGAAAGTCTCACAAGTCCATCTGCAATTGCAGCATTAGGAATACTTGTTTAAAGTGCTCTGGAGTCATTCCCTACTTAAATAATAGAATCATAGCATCATAGAATTTTAAGGGTTGGGCATTACAGATCATCTAGTCCCAACCCTCTGCCCTGGGCAGGGACACCTCCCCACCAGACCAGAGGTTGCTCCAAGGCTTCATCCAACCTGGCTTTGAACACTGCTAGGGTTGGGGCAGCCACAGCCTCCCTGGGCAACCTGTGCCAGTGTCTCACCAGCCTCACAGTAAGAAATGTTTTTCTAATATCTAACCTAAACTTCCCCTCCTTCAATTTCAACCCATTACCCCTTGTCCTATCATTGCAGTTCCTAACAGAGAGTCCCTCTCTGGCTCCCTTGTTGGCCCCTTCAGATATTTAAAAGTTGCTATGAGGTCTCCATCCAATCTTCTCCAGGCTGAACAACCCCAGCTTCCTCAGCCTGTCTTCATGGGGGAGGTGCTCCAGTCCTCTTACCAACTTTGTGGCCTCCTCTAGACTTGCTCCAAGGGTTCTATGTCCTCCTTATGTTATGTCACCAGAACTGTGTGCAGTATTCCAGGTGGGGTCTCACGAGGGCAGAGTAGAGGGGGAGAATCACCTCTTTTGACCTGCTGCCCACACTCCTTTGGATGCAGACCAGGATACAATTGGCCTTCTGGGCTGCTAGTGCACACTGCAGCTCATGCTGAGCTCATCCACTGTCACTCCCAAGTCTTTCTCCTCCTTGCTGCACTCAGTTACTTCTCCACTGAACCTGTAGCTGTGCCTGGGATTGCCACAGCCCGGATGTAGGACCTTGCACGTAATTTCGTTGAACTCCATGAGATTTGCATTGTTCCACCTCTCAAGCTTCTCAAGGTCCCTCTGGATGGCACATCCCTTCCCCCCAGTGTGTGGCTGCCCCACAGAGTTTGGTGTGGTCAGTGACCTTGCTGAGGGTGCACTCAGTCCCACTGTCCATGTCGCATGCTTTCTTGTAACAAGTGAGTGAGACAGGGGCTTAGCAGTTATTCTGTCAGTAAAAGATGCATTAAAATGTGCTAGTTCACTTTCAAGTGAATATGTTTTCCTCTGAAATATCAGGACTAAACTCTCATGAAACTGTTAGATGAGATATGAAAAGAAGAAATAGGAAACTGAATTACAGTGTGTGCTCTTGTGTAGCTCTGCTGAGGTGGTTCTTATGTTGGTATCACTTCCACAATTCTGGGAAACAAAAAAATACGTTCTATTTTTTGATTGTAGAACTGAGAGGTGAAGAATGTTTAACATGACACATTTCAGATCCCACTTGGTTTTCCTTGGCTGCACAGATGGCTTTCCTCACAAATCTATTAAGTGTGTGTATAATGGAGTTTTTTCACTAATATGTTGCTGTCTCCTGTGGGTGTTCTAGCTGTTAAAAATGTTATCAGTGATGTTTTTGATGTTGGATATATCCTGGTTATAAACATTAATTCCTTGTGCTCTTAATAGATATGTTTTATAAAGCTGCCCTGGGATAGTGTCTTTTCCATTACTTTTTTTTGTTTGCACTTGCCATAGCCAATCCTGACTAACTGCCTACTTTGGCTGTAAATTATTCAGGTCTATAGGCTACCTCTGTGACTCATCTGAAGCTTGTCTTGAGATAAACAATTTATAAAGAATTCTCTGTGTGCATGACTGTGAATATGCTTATCTTTGCAGAATATGTTTGCAATGCCCCCTGGTTTGTGGGGTGGTGGTTCGATTGCTCTTTGTTGTGAGGGTGTAGGCTGTCTGTGGGGGAAAGCTTAGATAATTTGTTTATTTTGGAAAGGTAGTAGTTCTGGATGGGAATGAAAGGGAGAAGGGTCTGTTTTGATTGTGTCAGATGTTCTGGGAAATGTAGTAATAAGGGAAAACTATAGAGTAATAGAATTTTCATCTCTGGCTGAAAAGCAAGCTGATCTGCTTATTATTAATCTTTGGGAACAAAGTCTAGAAGACCAACTGTCATAGTTTTAGGAGGACTGGAATGAAATGCTTCCCCTTCCTCCTGAAGGGGCCTGCAGGGAAGCCAGAGAAGGGATTCTTTGTTCAGAGCTGCAGTGACAGGACAAGGGGTGAATTTGGTACAAATAGAAGGAGGGAAAATTTAGGTCAGATATTAGGAAAAGTGTTTTTTGCATGAGGGTGGTGAGACACTGGCACAGGTTGCCCAGGGAGGCTGTGGCTGGCCCCAACCTGGCAGGGGTTCAAGCCCGGGTGGGTAAGCCTTGAGCAATCTCTGGTCTGGTGGGAGGTGTCCCTGCCCATGGCAGGGGATTGAGACTAGATGATCTGTAAGATCCATTCCAACCCCTAAAATTCTATGATTCTTTCCAGGCTTCTGCAGAGCAGGTTCTGTCTAGCCTGTTCATCAAATTCTGTGATCTTCTGCTTTCCAAATGGCTGTTGTCTGATTTAAGCCATTTGAAGGAGCCTTTTCCCCAAGTGCTACCTTTCTTTTTTTGCCATATTATCACTAGTATTTGCATCATGTCCCTATGTAGGGGTTTGGACTGAGATAACTCAAGGGCCATCTGAATTTCTTCTGGAGGTTCTTGAGTGAATGCTGCCTTCTCTCCTGCCATCTGAAGAATGGCAATCTGTAGTATGCAGAAAAATCTGAATCAAATGATTTTTAACGAGAGCTCAGAGGTAATGGAACTTCTGCAGATCATAACTGTGTGGTCAGTTCTGGAGACACCAGTTTTTCTATGTTATAGTTAACTTCTGTAACAGTGGGGCCTGAAGAGATTCATGACTTGAAGTAATATGCTTGACTTTGCAGGTGAATAAATGTCTTGTGATAATGATATGTTTGATTTATTTTTCTCCTTTTGTGTATATAATATGTTTTCATGCTGTTATTTTAAATGACACACTGCATGAGCTGATTAGGAATGAAAAATTGGAAAAGTCAGATTCTACTGGATCATGCTTAGATCAAGAGTAGTGTGCTCACTCTGTGCTCTGAAATAGGGTCAGTAACTGAAGTCTCAGAGTTCTTTTGGAGTTTTTCTTTTTCTTTTTGGAGTTGCTGGTATAATGCCAGGGATCACTGGACAGTGTTAGTTCTTTAAGTATAGCACTGTAGAAGTACACTCCAAGCATTAGAGCTAGGTAACGTTTCTTTCCTTACATACTAAAAGTCTTTACATGCCTATGCCAGTTTGTAGAATGTTTCAGTTTTAATAAGTGTTGGTTGTGCTTGCAGATGCAGGTGCATCTGTTGCTGATCGTGAGGCCAGTCTGGAGCTAATTAAGTTGGATATATCACGCACATTTCCATCCCTGTATATTTTCCAGAAGGTGAGATTCCTGTAACTTTAGTTATGAAAACTTTAAAATTCTGAAAAGTTAAACAAAAAAAAAGAAACCTAACTGCCCAAACATGGAGTAGTTTATAGAATTTGTTTTGTGTCTTAGATGAGAATTAAGTTGGAACATTAATAAGCAGTTTGGTTTTTTCCTCCTGGAAAAATGAGGTTCCTATTAAAGATTGTGAAACTACAGGAAGAAATGAGAATATTCTCACTGCTATAAAAATCTTGATGCATTTTAGTACACTTTTTCAGGCTCTGTGATATTCATATAAATAAAACAAATGCACATACATGTATGTAAAATAGCATGCAGTACTGTAATACATTAACTTGTGCTACTAAGAATTAAAATATCCACTGTCTCTGAAAAGGAAAAACCAACTGGATGTGTACCAATATCCTCATTTTCCATTATGTACTCATTTCCACTGAATTATTTCATGGGATTATTGGTCTGTTATTTTTCTTTAAACCTCTCAAAAGCATATGTGGTAATGCTTAAGAGTGAAAACTGGTATTATTCTAGATGTGGATAAAGCAATGATTCACTGGCTTATTTGCATCTGATAAATGCTACCTTCATCTGACTTGCTACATTCCTATATTTATGAAGTGATTTTGAAAAGAAAAGTCTTTTTTCTTACCTTCTTCCCTCATCTCCTTCTATTAGGGTGGTCCTTATCATGATCTCCTGCACAGTGTTTTAGGAGCATATACATGTTACAGACCAGATGTGGGATATGTAAGTACTTGTTGCAAAATGTTTATATGTAGAATGGCAAATAAGCTTAAGATGGCATGTAGTAGAGCATATTAAATAAACAGGTTTTCTAAATTTTATGCTATTATCGCTTTAAAAATTATAGAACTTTGGCACTTACTTCTTAGCAGTTGGCAATTCGTAGAGACAAACAGCTGAAAATGTGCTGAATGTCAAGGATTGAGTATATTAATCTGTCTTGCACGGAACCTTTTAAATGGATGTGTTCACAAGGTTTTATAGTTCTGACACACCCAGAGTATCTACAGAAGAAAACCAACCCAAAACACACTAGTGGATTTCCAGTTAACACTTCACCTGTTCTGTCCTAGCATTGCTTCCCCTGTTGATACTCTGTTCCACTACTGCACATCCTAATATCCAGAAACTCCTTATTGTTGTCTTGCTGACACAGAATAATCATTTCATCTGAGTTCAGTGAAGATAAGGCAGTTTTAAGCAAATATTATTAAAACCAAGCAAAACAAACCCATAAAAAAACCTGTCAAAAGCCCTGAACAAACCAACTAAACCTAACATATCTCTGAATGGTGTCAAATTACAGAAGCATTTAAATAATGAACAGATGCTTTTTTGTTTCTTTGTTTCTTGGGGTCTCTAGGAACATCTTTCACAAGCTCTAATGGTTCTGGGCTTGAAATCACTTGAAAAGTTTTAAATCTCATCCATGCAACAAAGCATTATTTAGCACAGGGTGTGTTTTCCTCTCAAAATCAGATATGCTTGGGACTTTCCTTCAATAACTAGTTGGTTTTTCATGTTCAAATGTTTTTAGCCCTGAATTCTGTCATCTGTGACCTCACTTCTGGAGACTCTCCCATGTTCTTTAACTGAGATTACAAACTCTGCAGGTTCTGAGACTGCATGTTCCCAGGGTGGAGTTTAAAAGGCAAATAAGTAGTTTTTCATTAGGCACACAGCTAGCCTAGGTATTTCTCTTCACATCTTTTTCAGTGTTAATATGGCAGTAAATTTAATCCACAGCTATTTATCCAACAGGAATGGAAAGCTGCTGGACTATTTCTGATGTATATCAGTACCCTTTTCCTAGCTGGTTAAAATGCTGAGTGCATGTTGTTGGATGGGAAGCAAGCAGCATGGATGCTTAGGGGTGGTGGAATAATCATCCCTGCAATTGAAATTGGTAACGTTATTTTTACTATGAGCATTCAGATCATCACTTAACTACAAGAATCATGCTCTTCACTCTTATTGCAGGCTAAAGTGGTTTTGAGAGAGTAACCCTGGAAAAATGTAAACTTGCATTGTAGCTGACCACTTAGAAGTAATTTTGTGTATGTGAACAAATACTGTTTGGCAAGTGGAAAGATACATATTGACTGTTCTGAAACAGAGTTTTGTCCCAATTCCAACATAGCTGTCTGGGTCTAAACTGTCCCATATGTGAAGTTTTGCTCCATGGCTGCTTTTCCCATAGCTTAACAATGAACTCGAGGCCAAGGTTTGTCTCTTACAAGCTCTGCATTCAGCCTGTGTGGTTTTAACTTTATTGCATTTCAAGTCCTGATCGTGAGACCTCCCAGAACTTCCATCAAGAACCTCAAACCAGCATCTTAATAAACACTGTTTGTTGCTGAAATGAAATTGATTGCATGCATAAAAATAATTTATCCATGTTGTTTTTGTTCATCTGGAAATGTTATGCAATGGTACTTGGTATGTTGCAGACTGTAAATATTTCCATTTCCAGAGGTATAGGATGTACTGAACCTACTCACCTATATTTGCCCGATGCTTTTTCCACTTGAAGGTACAAGGGATGTCCTTCATTGCTGCTGTGCTCATTCTCAATCTGGAAGAGGCAGATGCTTTCATTGCCTTTGCTAACCTTCTAAACAAGCCATGCCAGCTGGCCTTTTTCCGTGTGGATCACAGCATGGTATGCACAGAATTTTCTGGTTTGGAACAGTAACATTCATTTGACTCGAAGCATAGTTGATTTATTGACTTCTTTTTGTCCTATTGAAAACTGGAGAACTTTAACCTGTGATTACAAAACTGAGAATTCCAGATGCTAATCCATAAAACTCATTCTACTGTTTTGATTTTTTTCCTCTAGAAATGTTTAATCACTGTAGTTAACCTAAGAAGTCACATTGTGCTATGTTGACATCCTCTGTTCTTGGTGGGGTTTGTGTTAGTTTACAACTGAACATTCCTTTGATGGTGGTGCTTTACTGTCTCTACAGATGCTGAAATACTTTGCAGCCTTTGAAGTATTTTTTGAAGAAAATCTTCCCAAATTGTTTCTTCATTTCAAATCATACAGTCTTACTCCAGACATATATTTGATAGACTGGTGAGTTCATAGAACATGGCAAACCTAACCTTAGAACTGCTGGAACAATTTCTATTTTGTTATGGGCTTTTCAGCACCAGAAATAAAGCATTAAAAAAAAGGGCATTCAGTAGGTGTTTATGTACCTCAGCTTTCTACGTCTTGTGAAATTGTGTTGAACTGTTTTGTGCAACTGCAGTTCCTCTGCCAGCATTCAAACTTGATTAACAGGAATGTATTCAATTAGAAAATCAGACACACAGGAGTCCTGTGTGTTCATTTTCTTGTCACTGCAGTTAGTGTAACATAAGTAGGAGAGAGGAGGCCACTTTACCATGGAAGTTTTATGACTGATTGTAAGTAACTTGATGAGCATAATCAGCTACTGAAGAAAGTATGACTATAGGAATAGACACTTTAAAGCAGAGAGAGTATGAAATTTAGGAGCCCCTTTGGGAAGGGATAGACTTGAAAATAGAGTGAACAATTTGAAGTAATGAATGTTCGAAAGCAGAGAGCACCAAACCATGTTATGTGCCTGTAATGGAAGGCAAGAATGCATCCTTGAAGTGTGTGTGGTGCTGCCAAATACAGAGAGTCTTTCGTGTATGTATAAGGCTGAGCTTCATGTAGAAGTATTATATGGGTTGGAAATTTCTAACAGAGCCAATTGAATTGAGTGGAATGAAATAATATAAAAACATGATGTCACCTGAACTTTGCCTGTGAGATGCAACTTATCAGGGAGCAGTAAGTCTCAGCAGAGTTGAGTCAGGAGTGTGCTGCAGTCCTGAGTGTCTAGGCAGGTCAAGAGGCATATATACATTGTGGAAATAGTGCTGCTGGGGGGAGTAGTAGAATATTCTGGTTTCAGTTGAGAGAAATGAAGACTTTTATTCATGCACACGTTCCAAAGATGGCCTTGAGACAGAGAGAGCTTCTCTTAAAAAGGGAGAATAGAAGAGGTTATGGTAGTCTGCGGTAAGGAGTGTTCTGGGGTACATGAACCACTTCCCAATAGCAGTGATGGGGAAACAGAGAATGCTGTGCTTTGTATCAAAGATAGCACTACAAATTTATGGGAGGGGTTCTGCAGTGTGTTACGTACAGCAGTCTGAACTCGCTGCCCAAGTGTAATGAATGCTTTTTAAAAATAAACTTCTCAAAAAGAATGCAGTTGGTCTCTTCCCAGTAAAAACAGAACAGCAACTGCCTTTAGATTGTCATGATTTGTAATGGGAATAGAAATTAAAACATGTATCACAGGAATGTAGTTACTGAATTCTCATTAGTACATTAGTGGGATGGATCCCTCTATTGAGATGATTTGTGCCTTTAGATTTAGTTTAGAAAACAAATGATGGACAGAGCTGTTAAACTGTATGGCTTAAATGGGAAAGATTAAGTTACACAGTTATGATCTTTGTTGCTTAAGTCCTTACCTGTATAATTTATTCTGAGTATGACGAGGTTTGTATCTTCTTTAAGCCAGAGCTTCCTAGAGGAGTTGGCTTTCAAATGGAGGATTTCCTGTGGCACAAAAAGAAATGGGTGTCAGAGCACAACTTCTGACTTCAAAAATGAGACTTGTGGCTTGTTGAAATATGGAAAAAATGAGAACATACGAAATAGCTTTTCATCAGCTTACTCTGAGCTAATGTAACTGAGATTTAAAGGAGGTTGTATTTTGTGTTTTCATCTGTCTGAAATAGGTTAAAGTTACAACTTCTTTTTGTTTTTTTTTTTTCTTCTCAATTGTAGGATTTTTACACTCTACAGCAAGTCATTACCACTTGATCTGGCCTGTCGTGTCTGGGATGTTTTCTGCAGAGATGGAGAAGAATTTTTGTTTAGGACAGGATTAGGGATCCTTCGGTTATATGAAGATATTCTTCTACAGATGGACTTTATTCATATAGCACAGTTTCTAACAAAACTTCCAGAAGATATTACATCAGAAAAGCTTTTTAGTTGTATTGCAGCTATTCAGATGCAGAATAGTAACAAAAAATGGGCACAGGTGAGGTTTTTTGAGAGCTATCTATCTAAAAATATAAATTATATTTTGATACATATATAATATAAAAACAGATATGCCAGCACATGAATATATGGGGCACTTAATAACTACTTTAGTAGTTATAAATAGTTGTAAGTAGTTATAAGTGCTTGTCTGACTTCGGGGCAATGGGCACTTCCTTTTTAGTGTCTCATTCTAGAAATTTATCTCCATGCTAACATTGTGGTGATGAATATTGTGGTTTTTTTTTTTTTTTTGGTTTTTTTTTTTTTTTTTTTTTTTTTTTTTTTTTTACAAAAACTGGCTGTTTTTTAAAAAAATACTTTTCCAGGTGTTTGCCTCACTGATGAAGGACAACAAAGAAGGGGACAAGAACCATAGCCCAGCACAGAAGAGCTAATCCTCATGACATTGAGGTCAATTGAAAATGTGGAAAACCACTTCTATGTGGAAAAAGCACTATAGAAAATGTGAGAATGAGATGGAAAAATGACACAGCTCTCAGTGGAGTAATGAACTGATGAAATCTTCACTCTTTTGCCAGTATTAGTTTTTGTCATGGGAAGATTTGTTTTCACACAGAATACTAAAACCTATGAAACTGAGAAGCAGGAGTTCATATTTAATACTTTAAAAGAATCAGCTCCATGCAATAAACATTTGTAATAACTTCTGTTGGTACTTAAAAAAAACAATTTTGAGGCATAATGTTTTTTACAAATACCACAAAGGCACTTTTTTTGGGGGGGGGAATGAGGGAAATGCTAAATCTTAAAGCCCCAAAACTGCTATCCAAACCAAATGCTTTGGTACAAACATTACCTCCAAAATTAACGATTTGAAAGTATTGAGGACCAAATAACGTGGTTAGGTATGTTTCTGTGCAAGATGGTTACAATTTGGGAAAGGGGATTGTCTTATTTACTTGGGGTTTTTTTAAGTTGCAGCTTCTTTCTTCAGTCTGGGCAAATGTAATTAACTCAGGAACTGTTAGAAGTCTTGTGCCCAAACCTAGAGCAAAAATGATCTGAATTTTAAACAGTGGTAAGAACAGGGCTGCTATTTTCACTGTACAGCTCTCAAAGTGAGTGGTGTTGAGCATTTGTTTTGGTGTATTGGTTGTGGAGTAGATGGAGTTGGGTATTCTGTGAACGGGTTTTGCCACCAGAAGTTTTATTTTGTTGAGCCATTTCCAGCTAAGAGATATTTGTATGTCATGGTGAACACTAGAAAATGACAAAGCTATCTGTGGACTTTGTGTTCTCAAAGAAGCAGCCACTTGGGAATAATGCAGACACAGAATTGGTTTTGAAACTGTCTATTATTAGTGTGCAATACTGAAATCCAAAAAGCATCTGGTTTAGTGATACATAATTCTTTAACACCTTTTAACTGTGAGACATAAGGTCACGTTGTATGTGTCACGGCAGATACTGTCAAACATTTCCTGTTCTCGAAGATGCTGTACAACTTGTGATTGTTTAAAATGGATAGCACTGCAGGTGAGGAGCACTTGCACTCCCTTGATCCATTTTTTGCTAATATTTAATGTAAATAAATTCCTTACATGTGGGTTTTTGTAACTGGTCCCTCTGGAAATTAAGTCCAAATTACCATTATGTATTTTTAAGCGCAGGAGGCTTCCAGTTGTCTGGTGTTTAAGAGCAGAGTCTGCATAATTGGGGTAAAGATTTAGTGTGGTGTAACTTACATTGCTATCTGGTTTAAAAACTACATTCTATGCTACTCGTAACATTACAATCCGAAATGTAAATGTCAGATTTTTTTCTTAACTTATGTATTCACTACTTTAATCGGATCCAATTTGTCTTATATTTTTGTGTTATCTTGTACAGTTTTCTTACTTTTCAACTATAAATCTGTATATAACTGTAAATAGAAGGATCAAGCCTTCCTTTAAGACCACTAGTAACGATTCCTGTGTAAATAAAACTTACAGCAGAGGCGCCGGGTGGTTCCGCCTCGTTCC